AAATTAAAATTTTTTAGTTGGAATGAAAAATTAAATGATCTCTTGGGTGAAATATATATATATATATATATATATATATGGCTTGCTAGTACTTCCAATTTGGAATTGGATTTATTCACGTGCAATTCATCCCATTTGGAATGGGATTAGTATTTTATAAATATGAAAGCAACAAATTACAACTTTGAGTTGGAACAATCACGTGACAGTACTCTTCGGCAAAACCCATTTGAATGTGATTCGAATTTTTATGGAAAAATTATACAAAGTTAAATTTTGGAATAAATTTTTACCCTAAGTAAATCATCATCTCAACCAAATAGAATAAGGGTTTATAGGTGATGCTTATAAAGGGTGATGGAGAAAATTTGTCGCACTAATTCTTGAGAAGAAAATTATTTTGTGAAAGTAAAAGTGCACTAAAAGTCAAGAGAGAAAAATATATTGACAACAAAATTGTGTTTCTTGTTTTTCTACTGTTGAGATGAGATTTTTAAGAAATTTTTTAGCACAATCTTAAAAAATATTTTCGACTCTCTAACCAAACACTAAAAAATATTTTTCAATTTTTTTCTTCAACAAAAGATTTTATGTTATACCAAACACACCCTTAGAAGCTTTAAAGGACAATTGCTATTAATGAGTCAGTTTGGACTAAAATCATGTGCTAATTTGTGCTACGGACGGGTTTAGTTAGATCATGTCTAAACTTAGCCCATCATTAAAGTAGCACATGCCCAACTCATTAAAACCTGGATGAGTTGGGCGGGTCAAATAGGTTTGGATCACTTTTGCCACCCTTAGTTGTAGTTAAGGCTAAAGTAACGTTTTTTATTTTAGAAGGTCTACTGAGGTACCAAAGGCGAACGGAGCTCCTAAGTCGGGATGTCTGGCAGAATGCTTAGCCTCCTGCGCTAAAAACGAGACCCGAAGGGTGAGCTTATGATGGTTAGCTTCTAGCACTAAATAATAAATAGGTATTAGGTATTCTGAGTTGAAAGAAGGCAAGCACAAATAAAAGAAAGCATTACGGGCCAACTGCAAAAAAAACAAAGCTTCGTACACTTGTCAAGTCGCTTATAGAATGCCAAAGACTATTTTCCACTTAATAAGTGAAGGGGCAGAACGATCACAGTTCACCATGTGCTTTAAGGATCCATCTCGTACTTTATTGATATCAAGGATCCATCTAGTACTTTTTCTACCTTAAATTATTGAGTTTGAGTATTATCACATGTTTCTCCATGTTGTGTGGTGTGTGCCAGGCTTTATTCACTCAATATTATATTGGCAAAAAGGCCTCTAGCCACTTAAACTTGTACCCGATTGTCATGTCGGTAAATAAACTTTTAAAATTTTCATATGAACACTTCAACTTGATCTTAAGTGAACTAATAAACACCTCCGACCGTTGAATCATAGCGCATGTATTATAATATAACAAATGTGACAACCCAATCAGTAATAAACAATTAAAATCTGCCACGTGTAAGGCGCGTAAACCCACTAAGCACCTACTATTCCCCAATAATTTTTGACCTAAAGACCCTAAACACTTATTTTCACTCAACTCTCTCAAATGGAGTGAATGATTGTCATAGGATTTTTCGCCCATTAAATCATCTGCATAGCTCTGCCGGGAGCCCGCCAAACCCCCAAGCCATCAATGGTCAAAGTGTGACTCAACCGTAGAACCTTTAAGTACCACCAAATAACTCGTTTCTACTGTTATCGACGACTTTGCCAGCATATTCAATCTGAAATACTTTGTCGTTTGGCGAGAATATCGTCACCGATAAGTCACAACTTATTCCTATGCTGCTTGTTTTTTAAGTTTCGATTCCTTTATTATGAAATACTACGAATTTTACTGATTCAATTTTAAGTTTGAATTTTTTTTGCTTAGGAACTATGAAGGGCGAAACATACAGAGAAAGAGGAAAAAGATTTTTCTTTTGTGTCAAGACAGAAGAAGAATTGGAAGGAAAGGGGAAGTGTTAACGAAAAAAACAAAAGAAAAAGGAAGAGATAAGAGGACTGTGATGAGAGGGGTAGTGAAGAAGATGAGGAGGGGTACCTAGAGGCATTTGGGTTTTTCTTTTTATTTTTAGTTTCTACTTTTTTTTAGTATTATTTATTCCAATAAACTGAATTCACGCGTCTAATTCGCGTGATTGGCACGAACTATTGCCACATCACATATGAAGGTATTTAATAATACTTATTCTCTCAACTTTGAGTGCGTAAATTATAAATTTGTTTATGGGGATGGATAACAAACTGATTCAAGTTTTACTGCCTTTTTACCTATTATATTATATTGTGTGTACTACGACACAACTTTCTGAAAATTGTGTTCTCCTCTCCTCTCTCTTTCTTTTTACCTGTGAAAATCATGTACCCACTCAGCAACTATTGAGGAAGCACATGCAATAATTTGATTAAATATATATTAAATTGATTAGGTTTCTTGTTAAGGGCCTCATTCACTCAATTGGATCTATATATATATTATTGTGCATTCAACGACACAACTTTTTGAAAATTGTGTACTCTTCTTCTCTCTCTTTCTTTTTACCTGAGCAAGTTTTGCGAAGCACATGCAAGAATTTTATTAAATACTATATTAACCTTATTGGGTATCTTGTTAAGATTCAATCGAGATTTCAAATAAGTATAACTCCATTTGTATTTAATTCTTTAATCCTATTCAAACGGAGAATTATGCATACTATCAATTTACTGCACCACCAACAACCAAATGGGTCAGAAAGGTATGAGGAATTACTAGAGAGATATTCAAGACTCAAACTTGATAGGTTTAATATTAAAAATTCTTACTCTCATAAACTCATAGCATTTTTTGGATTATGAGTTGATCAGAATTTAATATATATTGACATTTTAGTAAATTTTCATATTACATTTATGCTATGTTTCGAAAATTATGAATTTAGTTGAATCCGGCAAACTTATGATGCATCCGCCCTGCATGATCATATGACAAACTAAATCATATTTTTCATACTATCTATTTGGTTAGCTTAATTTATCTAATCCAAGCAGGGAGGGATTTAGGGGGACGAAAGGGGGTTCAGCTGAATCTCTTGTGCCGGAAAATTATACTATACATATAAGGTAAAATTCGTTTTTTACTTCTATATATTACATTTTGAATTCCCTTGACACAACCTAAAAACATAGCTCAGTGATCAATGGTGTTCAAAAATTTTAAGTTTGCTGGTTCTATTCTCACGGTCATAGTCTCTTTTAATTTTTAAATATTTTTTTAAACTCTCTTAGCAGAAATCCTGTCCCACCAATACTTAATTATAAATTATCTGGTAGTTGTTGTAGTCATGCATAAGTGTCCTCCCACTCGATACTTAGTTTATAAATCAATGAATGCGATTAACATTGCTACAACTTATAATCATTATTAGAAACTGAAAAGATGATGGTTAAACCATAAAAAGCAGAAAAATATTCCAATAATTATGAGACGTTGGCAAGAGATAATAAGGGAGACACTTTATTGGACTCATAAAGCTTAAATAATTGTTGACATGAAGTTAAATAATTTTTTTCTTAGCTACATTCAATTATCACTGTTATATTTGAAGACTTCTTTTCTCCAAAACAAAACCAAGTTGCGCTGTTCAGCAGGATGTTTTCTAGTTGTTTCGAGGAACAAATTGGAAACAAGTTTCCTAAAGTAATTATGTTACTTCCCCACATGAAAATTTTACTTATTTTCATTAAATCTCCTGCAAAAGAAAGTTTTAATCCCTAGTACTTTAACGAGAATATGTATCCTAAAATATGCATGCATGGCAATCTCTTTCAGTGTTTAGAGATGATGAAAAGCAAAGAAAAGAATAAAAAGGACACTATATATATTGTCATTTGATGATCTATTAGTCATAACTTAGAAGAGGTTATTTATTTGACCACTGCATTCAAACATATGTTAGTAACTCATGTATTGGTTTGAAGTATTTCCCTCTACACGATTGGCTTGGCAGAATATTCTATAACTTTATACAATATTCCCTTTTAGCCTAAGACTAAATTTTCATCTAGCTGAACAGTAGCGGAGCTAGAGTACAGGTCACTAATTATCTATAAATATTTGACTGTAAATTTAATTATTATTGTGTATTAACTGAAGATCGTTATCTGAATTCAATTATCATTGTGTATTAACTTGAGCCCCTAATCTAGCGGATAGTTAAAGAGCTACTGTTGAAGATCATAGAGAAAGTAACGCCGTAATAAATTCAATGTTTATCTTTTTTAGCCGGTATACATAAATTATACACAATTATGCACATATTACACATGAATCATACATATACTATATATCAGCTGACTATTTTTAATTTAAGCCGTTATGTGGGTGGTTGTTTAGGTTAATTTTTCTAATTGGTTGAGCCCATACCGGTCCAAATTGGGCTTATCATAAGGGGCTAATCTAGTAGATTTTGGGCTAGCCAAAATAGGTGGGTTTTTCTGTATCTTCCTTTATTTCTTTTGGGCCTCTTTTTAGACTTAAGTTTTGAAGAATTAACCTAAATAACTGCTCACCTAATCTCTTAAACTAAAAATAACCGGCGGGGGTATAATATATTTATATTTCATATATAATATGAGTATAATTATATATAATCAATGTATAATCTATATATACTTGCTAGAAAAAGTAAAAAGTAAATCTGGCCGGCTATTTGTGTCACAATCCCTTTAGTTTTTCTTAAAATGCAACAAAGTTCGATGAAAATAGGCAAGTGCAAAGTAGAATAAATTAAATTAATAAAGTAAGTATACTCTATCAAATGCCTGAGCATGCATCATTAAAATGATTTACTTGAATATTTGCTCAAATATTCATAAATATACAATAGGAGTAAATATTTTTTTTTGTGGAGGGGGTTACATAATATGAGTAAAGGAATGCAGGAAGTGTAATGGAAAATAAGGACTCGTTTGCACCACTGACAGAAGTAAGAAGGAGTCGTTCCTTTCTCAACTAGATCAAAAAGGTAAAAAAATACCCAATCGCTTTGACTATGGATTTAACATGGCCTAAACTATTTATAATTTGCAAGAATCAACTATAGAAAATAATAACTAAGAGGCTCGAGGGTTCGACGTTTAACGATGAAATTCAAAGTCAACTGGAGCGCCAAACGATTTCTTACAATGAGCAATGGCTGCCTGAACAGAATTATCCCTCGAATAAAATCTTCTAACTTCATCACCACAACTAATATTGTTGCTATGCATAGGTGACGACTTAATAGAACTTGGGCAGCTTTTACTTTTACTATGCTTATTGGCAAATGATGTCCTTGTTCTTGCACTTGTGTAATAACGACCCGTCCTGACGAGTGAATCTAATACTCCTCTCATTGCCTTAAGGTTCATTATACCCGCGACAGATGATGTTGATTTGTCGCGGGTTAGATCTTGATAATTAAGCTCTGAATGATTGCGAGTTTTCAATTTCGTAGTGTCATTTGTTGGATTCCTGTTGCATGTGTTGCTGCCTCGCTGTAGCAAAGGTTGTCTGGCCGGCATTTGTTCTCTTTTGGGTTTGGGTGAGAGCATAGAAAACAGCATTGATGGAATATTTCTGTACTTGAATTTTACAATAAAGCTCATAATTCCATTTGGCTTTGAAGCAACCATCGTGCGGTCTTTCCTGCAGAATATGACATCAAAACATGATACATCAAGTTAATTTATCAACCGGTACCAAGAAATGAGCATGCCATTTTAAATTGGAAAAATGACATTGTATAGCCGTTTTCAAAATAATAGACGAAATATATATATATTTTGTAAATATATGTATTTTTGTATGTTATATATAAAAAATATGGAATACAAATATATACTTTTGCTGTTACCGAACTAAATAATTTTGGTCAAGAGCTAAAAGTGATCTTTGCTTTTAAATTTAGCATTAAATTTGGCCCTTGAGGGTGCATAAGAGATTAGTAGCAATCTTTTATTGTACTTTAGTAGGTTTAGCAAGTTACCTTTTTCTTAAATATCTAATCCAAGCTTACTATTACAATATTACTTGATTCGAAGTATTAAGTCACATATACTGACAGCTTAAAGGTTTTATACACAAAGCTAACCTTTGATAGTATGTATCAATTAATGTTTATTGCAGTAATTGCCTTATATGTGTAACTAAGTAATCTAATTGTATAAACATTTTTTTGTGAGCATAAATAGAAACTCTTTAAGCGTTTATATAGTTAGTTCTAAAGTTAATCCCATATGTTTGATTCTTTTTCACGACCTCTACTACAACCAGAGGCGGACCTATGGCTTATGTTGAGGGACAGGTCACCGGACCTCGTAAATTTCGGCAGAAATTTTGTATATGTATATCTGTAAACCTTGAAAATGGTTAAGTTAAATCATTTGGCACCCTTAACCTTAAAAGCCTTTAGGGACACTGATTGAATAGAATATTGTGCCCCCGTTGCATTAAATTCCTGGGTACGTCTCTCACTACAATTGATCTACACATCTACATCGTTTTTTTTTTTCCGGCATTTGTTAACTTATCCTTTTCTATTCTTGAAAAATAATTAATTACGGCAGACCATTGACCAGGCCACACCACACACCACTTGCCAAAGACAATGCAGACGTACATGAAAGAATCTTTTTTTTTTCTTCTAAACCATAGACTTTAAAATAAATAAATAAATAAATAAAGATGTTTGAATAAGTATTGAAGAAGCAGCACAATTTTGACAAGGTCAAAAAGATTTACCTGCTGCGTAACATCTCCGTGTAGTCAGCTTTCGACATGGACGGAAGATGAATACGCTCATGTTCAAATTCATGGCCAAAATTAGCTTCTTCTACTCTCACTAAATTTGAGGTCTTGACTGAGGATGCCACGAACGCGTTGATAATGCGAGTCAACGATACGAAAAGGCCTAACCTTGGCTTATTAATTGTTCTCTGTGCATGTTGTGTTGTACTACGAGACGTTTCAGCAGCTGATATTGAACATGTTGTCACAGTTGAGGGAATTCCAGCTGAAAAAGATATGCGTAATTCCACCTCTGAAGCTTCCTTCTCCTCTCTATGAAAATTCACACTCTCACCATCATAATCAACTAATGTTGTTTTTGTTGGCAGTGGATTAAGGTTTATTTCAATATACGCGCCATCGTCATCGTCGTCGTCATCGTCGTCTGTATCATACATAACATAACTAGCATCATAACCATGACTGCCATCATCATCAGAAGAGAAGAGGCCATGAGATGAGTTGAAGTCAAAAGAACTAAAAGAAAAACTCTTTCTTTGATCCAGTTCTGTGCTTTTGATCATGATATCTGATGCCCAAATAGCAATATACTCCCTTTTAAATTATTATCAAGAGGTTGTTTTGCATGTAGACAAATAGTCCTATGAGGACGAATCAGAATATTTGGATGGTACCAAAAAAAGATATAGGTTGAATTGCGAGCATGTGGTAAAGTGTCACCGACAAATCTCTTAATTAGGTGTAAAATGGAATATGAAGTATGCTAATACTTCTTATAACAAAAAATGTACTTTCTTTCTTATTCTCATGTATGTCTAGAAGGAGTGCTTTGGAGAATAGGTAAAGTTATCTGTGTGTGATTTATAGATTACGAGTTTGACCCGTGAAAGGAACTATTAATGATTGCATTTGGGATGCGGTCTTTCTCAAAGCCTACGTGAACACGAGATGTCTTGTACACGGTACAACAACCTACCTGCCCTTTTTTATGTCTAGCTATTGTTCTCTGTAATTGGGCTCAAATGGACTCTTCACCGACGACGGGCGGCGCAAGAAAAATATAACGTAACACACATATATGTATTGTTACAATATTATATCCAGCTGCCAGAGATAGTTGCTATGGAATAAATAAAAGTATTGTTTGATCATCTTTTTTTTGTTGTTGTCTTTCGTTTTTACCTGGCTTATGTGTTTGTATTTTTCTAAGTTGAAGGGGTCTTCTAATGTGGACTGATAAAGACTAAAACAGGCATTTGACCATCTAGAACCTACAGTAATATTTCTGCCAGGTTAGTTTATTACTAACACTACTAGTTAAACGTTAATTAATTCATAATTCATTGGCACCTATAGTAGAATGACCCTGAAAAGCAGTGGAAGTTTTTGTACTACATGAGACAATTAATAATGTATAATAGTAACAATCACACTTCATTTTTTCTCCCACTATATATTAATCATAATTTCCTCTTTTCCATGCCTAATTGCAGGGGTTGAGCTAGAGAAATTGCTACGAGCTCAAATAAATTCAATTTTTCTCCCACTATATATTAATCATAATTTCAGGGGTTGAGCTAGAGAAATTGCTACGAGCTCAAATAAATTCAATAGCTTCTGTATAGATTCTATATTTGTAATAAGAAATTCATTATAATGCACAAATATTTAATTACCTAGTAATTAAGACGGGATATGAGCAGTGGTGGAGCCACGTTGAACCAAGAGGTGTCGAGCGACACCCCTTCGCCGAAAAATTATATTATATTGCTAGATAATGTTTTATATTTTATATATATATATATATATATACTATACGTTGACTCCACTCGACTTTTCGATGTAGCTAATTATTTATTTTTTGACACACTTGATGAAAATTCTGGCTCCGTCACAAAATATGAGTTCGAAATCAAATTTAAAATCCATAAATTTTAAATCATATCTCCACTTTTACCTAATTGCTATAATATCCATTGGATATTGGTCCAAGTCGTGAAGCAACAACCCCAGATTCATCGCATTCTTTTCCTCCTCTTGACAAGGCCCCTCTATCTACCGCCTACCAGTGTGGACCTACAACCTCTTAAAATTTAATTACTCCTACTATTAACATCATGAATGGTAGTCTTGAAATAATATTAAAATTATTTTAGTATAATTTATAAGTTACAAGTTTGAACCGTGAAATCAATCACTAATATTTGTATTAGAATATTGCTGTCTACATCACACCCTTTGAGGTGCGATCTTTCCTTGAACCGCACGTGAATGAGATATTTTGTGCACCTGCGTGTGAATGTGTGTTGAATGACGCGCACATCGGAAGGAAGATAATGCCTTTTGTATTGATATCTTATAGGATTGAACGCTAGCTCACTTGGTGAATTATGCTTTCGACAATTGAGGTGGAAGGCTTAAATCACATCAATAGCATAGCTAGCATTCCCTTCCCTTGATGTAACAAAAAAAATTAAAAAGAATTTATTGATTCTTTTCATTTTTTCAGCACAACTCTTTTCTCGATCTCTTTAGTTTTATTTTTAAAAGACTTTATAAGTTGCAAATGTATAGTTAGATAATCTCAGCTCTCAAAAATAAATAGAAACTTGAAATCCTCTTAATATAGACTTAGTTTACAGGTGTTCGTCGGTTGGTACGGTATAGTATTTAGATCTTTCGGTTCGGTATTTTCGATATTCGGTTTCTTAAAATACTATAACAATACCATACCTAATTAAATTCGGTATGGTTCAACTTTTCTCCTTTCGTTTTTTGTTTGTCATTCTGGTAACTTCGGTTTATTCAGATCGAATATTAACTAGTGTATAAAGTCATAGATTTTTCTTAAGTAAGGTACTAAAAAACATGAAACTAAAAATATTATAATATAGTAGGAAAAAAAGGTGGAATCCAGAAATGCTAAATTTAGATGGGAGAAATGTTGAAACGTAACTAGGCAACCAAAGAAAAGGGGGAAGACAAGTATAGTGGGAAAAAATGTTGTAATGCTTAAAGAAAACTATAAAAATAACGAAAAGTAAAATTTAGAACTTAATATTTATGTTATAATAAATAATATGTGTATTTGTAACTTAGTATATATTTTGGTAAGGTATTGATGTTTTATTATTTTATTTTTAATTATCGAACATCATACCTAATACCAATTTTTTTAAGAACTTAAATTGAATACCAAAATATCAAATACTACCAAATACCAAAAAATTTGATTTCGATTAATTCGGTATTTATCAAATTATTAGAATAGATATTCCCCTCTAGTTGAATAACTTTGGTTACGCACTAATGGGTGGATGGAGGAAATTTATATGAGGTTTATTGTATACAATCGACCAAGTCATTCGATCAGTACAGTATTTTCGTCAGCTTCGATCTTGGTAAATACTCTAACAAACATGGCGCTTCTCGTGTATAGCCTATAGGCCAAGCTGACCTTAAAGTGTAACAAGTCGTAATTTTATTTTCATTCAATTTAATCGAAACAAAATAATTACACTATTATAGAACTGAAGAATAAGAATTTATCATCACAGATTCAAACAGAATTGACAAATCTGCAGATTATAATGATTATGTCCGGTACATGATAATGAAACAGCAGAACCATTAATACAAAAGGAATTAGTAAACAGCCGGTGGCGCGCGACTGACCTACGGTGGATCAGTCGCCGATAATTTCACTAAAATTAAGAAGAAGGAACAATAACAGTGCGCATCATATCCTTGAATTCAACGAAATCAACTTGGCCATCGTGATCTTGGTCAACTGATGAAATCATCATCTCCACTCTATCAATTTCATTTCCTTCAGGCAATCCCAGTTTCTCTAGTACAGCCTGTAATTCCTTCGCCGATATAAAACCGTCGCCGTTTTCATCGAACACGTTAAACGCATCCTTCAGATCCACTTCGTCCTGATCCGGATCCTGATCCAACACGATCTTATCTTCTTCATATTTTGACCCGAAGAAAACATCATCGAGTGAGCGATGTAGAGCCTCGAAATCTTCGAATCTAAGGCCGTTGTTTCCGGATTTGATATATGACCTTACCATGGATTCAATTTCCGATTGATCGGCATCTAACCCTAGCAAATTGAGAGCTTGACTAAGTTCGTCTACGCTGATCAAACTGTCATGGTTTCTGTCGAACACGTCGAAGATCCGACGAAGACGAATTGAATTGAGGCTCGGGCTTCGAAGCCGGAACGACGATGAAGAAGAAGAAGAAGACTTAAGTTTGCCCCTGGTAAGACTCCGTTTACACTTGTCTTGTACTCCGTTATTTTCACCTACTGATCCCATCGGTTTCTTCTTGTGAAAGATTTCTATGAACTATATATACTGAGAAGATTTGAATAAATATAGTAGCAGTAGCAGTAGCAGTAGCAGAAGAGAAGATCAGTAAGAAGAGTGTGGAAATGGGAATGGGAAGTTGTGTTCGACAGGTGAGAAAATTATGAATGGATCGTGGATGGCTGGCGGGTTTTAAAATTAAAAATAGCGAGGAAAATTAAGATGCCGCGCATTTGACCTGTCCGGGTTTGCAATAGCGCGTACAAAGTCTCTTTTTGGTTCAACTACCATCTTTTTGTCCTACAGAGATCATATAAGTTTATTTATTAACTGCAACTTAACGTGGGACTCAACACTCCCTTTCTTTTAAACCTTATTCGTGATGTGAGAATTATCGAAAATCATATAAGAAGGTTCATTTTTTAACTCACACATGATATGGGACTCAATACCTCCTCTAGACGCCCTTGAGGGTGGACAATATAAATAGGGGCGCAATATCGGATAAACTAGGATATACTTAGGCTTTGATATCATGTCAAAGAAATGAACATTGAGTCTTACTCCATCCCAAAAGTTAACCCATGAGGTGAGACTATAGAAGGAGATGCATTTGTTAACCCGCACTCGATTTGAAACTCAACACTAATTTGATATAAATAAGTGCTCTTTAGAAAATTAAATAAAAAAGTTAATAATTTTTTTAATATATATTTTTGCATCACTAAATAATTTATATAGTTTTTAGAAGGTCAAACTAAAGATATAAAATATTTTGAGGAGAGATAAATAGTAACTTAGCGAAATAAATTGTATGATTAATGCTATTGGCTAAGAAGTACTAATTTTCCTTAGAATGTGACATAAAGATAAAAAGATCAATTTTTTTTAATTAAAAAATAAGATTATTTTTCTTTCATTGACCTCACCAAAGTCGCAATATGATGGAGCTTTGAATTTTGCGATGGCGTGCACCAATGCATGTCATGTCAATTCAGAAGAAATTAGACAAGTCAAGCATGCTTGCTTGTGTTGCTAGTTTGGCACTGCACCTTCCATTTTGTTTTAAATACTCCATTTAGAAACAGATAGTACGATTTGAATTCTAAATTTTACTATATTCGGTCTAATTTGTTCGAAATTTATTTAAGTTTAATAAAAAGATCAGCCTGGTACACTAAGCTTATGTTATGCTCGGGGTCCGGAGAAGGGTCGGGCCACAAATCACAATGGTTTATTGTACGCAATCTTATTCTGCATTTCTGCAATAGTATATTTTCACGGCTTGAACTCGTGACCTCCTGATCACATGACCGCAATTTTAAGTTTAATTAATTTAATATTTGTATTATCACCATTAAATTCATGGAGCTTTTGTGAGGAGCGGTTCTGAGAATCAATGGCTACATTATGGATTATGGGTGCTTGAGCTTATTTTAGAGCGAAATACTGTTACTCACATAGAAAATTAGTAATACAAATATATTAACTAACCATCTAATCTTACTAGCAATTTTTATTTATATTAAAAATAATTGAGCACTTAATGACTTAAAAATTCTGTGAGTCTGCCGCTGAGAATGAGAGGATTTTTGCTAGCTTTTGCGTCTTACATGCATAGATTCGACGTCCACGTCCATCGCCACATTTCGTTGACCTTAGAATAAAACTGGAATTAATGGCGTAGCCTCCGTTCCGCTTCCTTATTGTCCATCCCTACAACTACAAACTAAGAATTGATGAAACATGGCCCATAATCAGTGGCCAAACCAAAAAAAATTAATAAGAGTGTTCACATTTTAAACATCATTTGCGTGGTTTATGCTAGAATGTTCAAAATCTATTTTTTAATCAATAACAAGTAATATTTTATCATATATATATATTATAATTTTTGGATAAAAGGTATTCAATTGACTAATCTTGATCATACATACCTTCGCCTCTGTCCATAATTATTAAAGAAGAAAATGAGTTATTGATCAACACACCTACTCTACCGCTCTAGCCAATATGCTGCCTACTTAATTTGACGTAGTTAATTACTTAATAACCAACCTGAGTAATTAATGCATTTTGACACATCTATTTTTACTCCTCTCACTTTGTTTCCACCATTTTCCATAGTGATATGCTAGAGGTATCCTTAGAATTTATTAAATGATAGTACTAAAGATACCCCTTTAAAATAAAGAGTTTAAGTTATATGCTTGTGTAGAAATTATTTATACAATTATGTTACTTAATAGATAATTATAGATAAATCTCTTGATAAATATTACGTAATGATAATTTTATAAAAATAATAATTAAACTGCTATCACAAATGATTCGGCGGTTGATAGCTAAAATTAATAGAATTTAAAGCTAAGACCCTCCTGATTTTCTAGATGTTAGGCAGTTGGTTTTACATTTTGGTTAAGGTGAACACGTAGTTCGACGCCGTGGCTATTATCAGGGACGGAGCTAGCATTCGGATTATGGATTCGGACAAACATAGCAGTTTTGGTCTAAATTATGTATTTGTCTTAAAAAATCTATTGAATGTGTACAAATCATTAGTTTATAATTCATTGACTTAAAAGATTAAAATCTCGAACTCATAAATTTTAAATTGTGGCTCAGCCTCAAGCTATTAGGGTCGTTTGGTTCGTAAGCAATTTATGTTGGAATTATAATGTGGAATTTGTTATAGGATTTAATAATAACAAGATTATTTAGTTGCTATACGCTTTTAGTAAACTAGTCTCTTGCTACGCGCGTTGCGCGTGCATCCAATCTCCAGGAAGTCAAAATTTTAAAGATCACGTAACTATTATATTCAAAATTATATTTGTGTTATATATAAATTAAAATTAATGTTTAAGTTTTTGTAAATAATAATTGACTTTATATGTCACATAAGTTCTCCATCATCAGTAGAGATATTCAACATACAAGTATTGACGTAAACAAAAACTTTTAATAGTTTTTAGATAAATAATTTATTTGGGAGGTTTGGTTTCTAGAACCCTCTTTTCTTTCCGATAAATAATTTTTGGCTTTGTTCATATTTTATGCGGAAGAAAATAATAGAAGGAGAATTAATGTGCACAAAGCAATAAACATAATTTGAGAGGAACAATAGAAAAAGAAAAACGTACCAATAGTATATAGTTTGAAATTGTTGCCTACTGGTTTTTGTCTTAAATTTGATTTGGACATGTCTTATTTGGAATAGTAAAATTTTAATAATTTTGAAATCTTAAATAGTAAGACTTAATTAGTATGTACACATGTCAATCAATATAAATTTTATGAAAATCATATGAATGTTTATCAACTTATGTTTTCTGACATGCAATCGTTATGTGTTATTTCGAAAATATTTCTTCAACTTGCGGTTGAAATAAATTATAGTATTTAGTAATTTATATCTAAAGAGTTTAATAATCGTAATTGTTGGGTTATTTTATATCTAATTATAGTATTTATTAGAATATGTATTTACATTTGGTACATACATTTCATAGAAGAAGTGTTTAATTAAAAAATAATACAACAACAACATGCCCAGTATTATCTCACACCGTGGGGTCTGGGGTTAATTAAAAGATAATGTACATGCTTATACGTACCTTTCACAAAAAAGTCTTTCTGTACGTTTCTTTTATACTTTTACCTTGATAATTAAATTATATAAAATTTATGAGTATTAACTCTATGACCGATTAAAATCTAGAATTAAGAATAAGAAAAATTGAAGAAGTGTCAACATTAGTTATAGTTTACTACTTAGTCTTGTTCTATTTTATTTTTTTATTTTTACTAATATAGATTTAATTGGTTATACTTTTATAACAAAAAAAATAATTCAAACCTACACCAAGTAGTAGCTACTCTTTACTTCTTACCGTGGATTTTTTTATTTTTTGATATTACTTGTCTTTTATAAAATTATTGTGTTACATAAAATAAGGAAAAGATTTTGCGCAATAGATATAATATAATAGGACTTTTTATATACAGTTCAAAAAGGAAGAATTTAATGTTACAAAATTTAGTAGATTTAGATCTCCTAAATATTGGGAAAAACTTAAGTTCTCAAAAAAATATTCTTGAAATTAAAGAGTTAACTCCTTGTTTTAAATTGAAAATTGATATATTACCGATATTTTGTCTTAGTTCTTTATCAAAACGTTGAATATCAAAAACCAGTTTGAAATTGCACGACTAAATTCTGCATATACCATTTTGAATCATATATGAGTGCGAAATTTATACAACCATGCATGTTTATTAGTAGAAATATATTTGATTTTGAATTTCTAAATATAGTATTAGGACTTTCAACATAATACAAATAACGAAAAATTTATCAACTAAAATTTAGTTAATTTTAAAAGTTTTAAATATTAAAAAATTAAATTACAATTTTGTCCAATGTGATTAGAAACCAAAATTTAGAAAATGTAACTGTTTAAAATTCGTAAGAACTAAAAGGAGTGTGAAGCTTACGTGTTACTTGAGTTTGAGTCAAATAATGATTAAATTGAAAAAATAAAGAAAAGGAAAAACTTGAAAATAAAAACTTTTCTAAGATCCCTAACGTGTTTAAAACTTCTTTTCGTTTTTGCTTACCAGAATAGCCAATAAGTTTGGTAGAATTAGACTAAAAAGATGTAAAATTTACGTTTAATTTGGATTTGGACAAAGCTAGAGTTTTATTTTATTTAAGTTGAAGCCTAATAATGATTAAAACATTTCAAACAAAATAAAAAAGGCAAAGACTTGAAAATAATTATGACTTCAAATAAGGAAAGAAATTAAAAAAGGCAAAGACTTCAAATAACGAAAGAATTTAATAATAAAATTTTTAGTAGATTTTAAATTCCTAAATATTAGGATAATAATTTAATTACGATTTTATTCAATGTGATAAATGTGATAAATGTGTGTACATTAAAAATGTTCCAAATCACATAGTCATTGTTTGCCTATATGTGGATGATATGCTGATAATGAGTAATGACATTGCCAACATAAATGCTACTAAGCGTATGCTCAATAGCAAGTTTGATATGAAAGACTTGGGAGTTGCTGATTTAATTCTGGGAATTAAGATCCATAAGGCTCCTCAACGTCTGGCATTGTCACAATCTCATTATATTAAGACAGTACTTGAAAAATTCAAGCACTTGGG